TAACCTATTTTTCCCCATTGATGACATTAGAACTTCACCCACGGCTGTACCAGCTTATAACTTTCACTTTTAATTAAAGAAATTAAATTGGCAACATGAAACACTTTGCTTTCACATTAGCTTTGTTAATAAAAAGTGGAAGTTAAAAGCATCATAGCTGAGGGTAAAACGCTGCTCAGTGTTGCGACCATGGTGTGGTGGAATGCAAAAGCACAGGTATAAAAAATTATTTACATYAAAATCATTAAAACTGCAGTAACAAATTCGGAGAAATTCAGAAAAYTATCTCAACACAATAACTCCCCCTTGCTCTCCTCTCATCAGAAGCAAGTTCTAAGTGCCCAAGCGGGCAGGAGGCTGCATTGTATCCACTGCTCTCAGAAGAGAGGGAGAGGATTAAATTGTAACCATGGCTGAACTCCTCTCAGACTCACGGAGCAGCCACTCCAAGTCATCACAGCACTCGTGTGGAAGGAAACCTGCAGCACCAAATTTCAATGATCTCTTTAATAAAAAAGCCCTTCAGCCTGTAGGAATAAAAATCACTATCATCGTTAAATGCTAATTAACTTTACAAACAACTCTACACATTAATTTCCATTTACTTCTAWAAATTTTCTTTTTACAGAACATCTTACTCTTGTGATAGTTGTATTTAAGATCCCAGAACTTGACAGACTTGTGCTACTAATACTCAGCATTCAAAAATAATTGACTAATTGACTATATACATTGGAAATTAAATTTCAACATTAATTTTATAATAAAATAAACATGCATTCAGCCAGTTGGAGCAGATCAATTAACACACTACTTCATCATAGATTCTAACATAGAAATACGTTTCATTCATTTTCTGAGAGCCAGGACAACCCCAAGCTGTAACTTTTTACTGTCACCATTCTCTCCAAAAATAATTCAAAAAGAAAAACAACAAAGCAACAACAAATCAGCTATAACCTCCTACTCTTTCTGCTGCCAGAAATGTTTCCATTATTAGCCCAGAACTTCATTCAACCTGACAGACACCACCTGCATTTTCCAGGTTTTGGAAATAGTTCTGAAAGCAGCAAGAAGACAGATTTACTATAATAAGACCAATGCTTTGTTGGGTTTGAGTTGGGATTGTTTTTTTGTCGTGTTTTTTTTAATAGAAAATCCACACAAGACACACCATGTCAAATGTAAAGGTAAATTCCTCAAGTGATTTTAGTCTGGCTTTTGACCTTTCTGCAGCCTCCAGCCTCTCCTCAGCTCTCCCCAGCATTCCCCGTTCCAGTCTCCAAAGGCTGAGGATGTCTGGYTCTGCACACACAACAGCCAGTGGCTCTTCCTGCCTAAACAAACCAGGGCCAAGAGTTGACTCTCCCAAATATTCCCTTTAAAGAGACTGCTCTGCTGTTCATACACAACATGGTCCCTCCTTGTGCTTTTYTTTTCACCTGTGATACTCATGCCAGGAAGGAAACCCAAAATCAGCAACAACCAATGTAGCTCAGCCCCTCCTGTGCGTGTTGTGGAATATTTTGGAATGTTGTGGAATGTCCTGAAACGTGGGACGTTGTGGAACACGATGCTGGATCCCTGAGGTGCAGGAAATCATTCTGGCTTCTGAAACAGTGCAATAGTGATTTCAATTTTTAGATTTTTAATGTAAAAGAAATTGTATGTTGCATTGCTACTACAGTATAGCATGATTTTTCCTTTGCTGTCACATTTGTCTTCCCCAAAATATCTCACTGGAATGAGAACATCAGTCACAATTCTTCAAAGCTTGTGATATGAAGTTTCTATTACTCAAGTATTTCCCAGGCAAGGRACACAAGATTTTGTCAAATTCTCTCATTCAACAAGCTAAATAATATTGCTTGTTTGTTTCAGACACTCATGTAGCTTCAAAGTTAATTTTAACCTCAGTGACTTTCCTTGGAATGTCAAAAATTGTATTTTTTGAAACCTAACTTCAACCTTCTCATCTGATTTGATCTCTCATTCTCCCAAAAACACTTCCTAAAGCAAAGCCAACCCCATCTGAGTGCTTACAAATTTTGCAATCATTTCCAGCTGCAACAACTGAAATTATGATTCCAGATCAACCAGAACACTTGTGTCAATTTTTTTTTCTCCTCCTAAAGAAACGTACCTACCACTCAAAATAACAAAAACCTGCACACCTGACACTTTCTTTGGCCATCATTCACATATGAATGTTTTTAACCCTTACTGAGCTATAATGCTAAATCACCAAATCAGTTTCAAGACTTCCCAAAGACTCMTGCTGCCTCCCCTTTGACTTAAATCTATTCCTGCATTTTTCATTATCTTCTCCAGCCATTATCCTGTTACTGAGTAGATTATTTAATACCATCCACTTCCAAGCCCAAAACATTTCCTTCACTATCTTAATCTTCATCAAAACCTGGACTGGGCTATTACCAAGGTTCCAAAGTGTAAATAATCACAAAATACTGTTCACTGTGCAAGTTCAACCTGTTCATGCTCTTCCAAACAAGGCAGTAGAGGAGGTACCACCAGCAGGACACTTTGAAACTTTCCCTGAAATTATTCTGCTGAGTAACATTAAAAACATGTTGCACAATGACATGTCAAACACAACACCTCCAAGATAGAAGATCACAGTGTTTGCTTAAAAGACACATTAAGAAGCTGTAGTTATAAATAAATACTAGCATGATTTTTACATTTAAGCATCTGTAGCAAGGAAAAGAGAAATTTCACTTTAAACCCCAAAGTGTTTTATCCTTTAAAGACAACACTGTCAAGGWGACAAAGGTGCCATGACTGGGGGAACAAAGCCTTTTTATGGTGGGTATTTGAGCTCCAGAGGCAGTTTAAGCATCTCCCCCTCTCAAACACAAAGTGGGTACTGAGGGGTACCACGTCACCAGGCAGCTGGGGCAGGTTTTAACTGTGCCCATTTCACTACTGTGTCATTACAATTACTGCATCCTTCCCACACGGCAAGTTCAGAAAATAAACAGAAAAAAACAGATTCCTGGGCAACGAGTTGGAACACAAGAATTCAGAATAAAGACCTCAGCAGATATCACTGTTCATGTACAGGTGCTTTTGCATTTCAGCAGCACCACAGATTCTAAGGAAACAATGTAAAATCTATTGTTTAGAATATACATTTGTAATCTGATCATAYTTTGCCAAACTATGTCCTATGTAAGCCTTGCAATGGGTCACCCCTGCACCAGAACAAACTGGGGAGCAGCAGCTGAACAAAGGCAGCTTGGTTCCAAAGTGGCATTCACAGTCAAATCACCACATCATATAAGCATCTCCCATGAGGTTCACAGCATCTTCAACTTCTCTCTCTAAACATTCATAGTGATAAATCAGCACTGCTCTTCCATGGCTACTCTGGGGTTTGGTTTTGTATTTTTAACACCTTCATTTATTTTTCACCTTCAGATATTTTTACARTATACCACATATTTCTTCCAAGCTGTCTCCTGGTTATGAATTCATTATTTTGATTTATGCATTCATTATTTTCATTAAGGTAGTTTTTTTTCAAATCAGTTAGGGGATTCTTTTAATTCCTTTGTTGCAGAATTATTTCATTTGCTCTTTCTGTAATCTGTAGGAATCAAACTTGATCATCATGTATTTATTTACTAAATTCAGACTTCACAGGACTTTATATTAGCCAAGACTAAAACAATAACAAAAAAACCTGCCCAAAACACAGGAGGTCCTCTAACCCAATCTCAGATCAGTCTGCATAAGGCTTTGTGCAGTCAGGGAAACATTCCTCAACTAAGGACTATAAGCTACTGCATTTTTCTCAATGCCCATTAAAAAAAACCAACCAACATAACAAGCAGAAGGATACACAGAAAATGATTCATYAGGGTATATTCATGAATGGTAAAAATAGGATAAAAAATAAGTAAGCATTTATTTTTAAAAACTAAGAATTAAAAATGAAAACAGTAAATATGTTTTCCTCAAAATATTTAGAGTATCGATGTTATGTAAAAATTTGTGGAATATTTAATATGGTGAACAATTATAAATTGAAAGTGCAAACAGACCAGATTACAGTAGCCAAATTGAGAAATAGATTCCTAAATAAGCAAGGCTAGTTTTTTTTTAAAAAAAACCTCTCCATTTGTGAACATTAATGGCACAAAATCAGGAGGCTGTGCTGCAATTGAACGTTGAGTTGCTCTGTATAACGTCTTCAGTACATACAATAAATAATTAAGATTCAAAGACAACTAAAAATGGGATAACTAAGAGTTAAATTTATTTTCAATTAGATTTGATATATATAATTAAATTTACAGTTACAAATAAGAGATTTATCTATCCCTATGTGCTCTTGAAGCATTATCATCTGAGTTTGTTGTATTGCACAAAAGAACTTGAATATTCAAGTCTCTGGAATTAAAGTTACAAAGGAACTAGTCCTGAAGAAATGACAATTAACTGAAGACAGGCAGGAATAAATCAAATAATKCACTTATAGAGAAGCAACTGGAACACATTTAAATTGAGATATACAAATGAACAAAACTGTTTAAAAACAAAGCCTAAAGACTTTAGATGTAAAAAGCTTCCAAAAAAATCCTTAAGAATTTACTGAATTTACTTAAAGATCAGAGGTGTAGGCTATAATTCTCCAGTAGCACAGAAACCTTTGGCATCTATTAAATTTCAAAGGCAATTGTAAAAATAATTTCACAGAGTTATTCTGAAAATGCTAACCACTGTCTCCTATATTGCCAAGAACTCATCAGATTCAGAGCTGTGTGTTGCAAACACAGAGGCATCCCAGGCACGTAGATCTGGAGTCAGCACAGATCAGAATCAGACCCTCGAGTTCAAGGTGTGATGKCACAACAACAGCACCTTCCCAATTGTAAGAAACAAAATGTGTTTATGGAACAGAGACCACAAAATTAAACAATTGTCTGAAGCCTATGGATTGTAAAGTAGTTACAAAACCAGAGTAAAAGTGATACCTTGGCTGCCTTCAGCAAGATTTCCCTCTCTTGTTCATCTTTCCTTTGCTTTTCTAAACGCTCCAACTGTTCAAAGAACTTCAGCTGTGACCGGACATCTGTGGCTTGTTCATACCATTCGTCATCCTGGAAAACAGGGACAGGCCTTTGGAAAAACACACCTTTTTAGCAAGAGTACCCACTTAAAGGCTGTAGGTGTTACACATTAAAACCTTTCCACTATACTAACTATAAAAAGAAAACTATCATTTTTCAGGCTCGGGGAATGAAGCCAACCCATGGTTAATAATGCAGCGAAAATCTGCTACTATAATTAATACCTAAGCAAATTAAAAAACCAAGCATTGATTTATCAGCACCAGATACATCAAAGAGTTTAAAAAGTAAAACAAACAGACTTAATGATGGAAAACATCTGGAATGCTTAACTTCATTACTGAAAAATCCCAGATATAGTTTACAACCAGGTTTATAACCTATAACTCCTGCATTTGTCCTAATCTTGAACTAGTAACAGACTTTCTCAAGATGCAGCATTATAAAAGCATTAAATGCTAAAAATTCAGTTGCAAATAAGTCTCTAATTACAATTAAAACAGAWGCTTAGGCAACTAAGACCATGCAAACTTTCCTAGTACACAACAACCAGAAGAGTTTATGGCAAGAGCCACATGGAGAACACTCAAAGTGTCAGTCAGAAAAATAGGATCTCCCCATTACTTCCATCCTATTTATCTGTTTAATATTTTCCTGACTACAATGCTACGAAATCAAAGAAGACCATTAACCAAGAAAAATGCAGAATACAATGACAATGCTACAATTCAGAGACGACACTATTTTTTTCCTAAGGATCTGTTAAGGCATTATTTAGAGGCATCTTTGGCTTAACATGGACTAAGYAAACTGTCTTCTGCTCAGACACCACCCTAGAGAAAAGGAAGGAAGGATTTAACACTGCTGAAGCTGATAAAGGATACTCAAAAGAAACAAGGAGATACTACTTTTAGTCCAATAGAGCAGAATGCATCCATCAATTGTAATAAAMAATGTAAGTGTAGGTAATAACAAGGAATAGTGGCCTTTATTTTTTATTCCATTTTCCTATCACAATAACTGATCATAGTCACAGATCACAGAGATGATTATTTTTGCAAATATCACATAGAATTAGTCTGACCATGACTCAGGTTTGGGAAATTGGTGGGCTGAGACAGAGTCCAAAGCTATTTGACTAGACTGCCACTCYAGGAACACAAAAGAGTACAACACAAAACCAAGGAAATATCTAAAAAAAACTGAAAAAGAGCCATTCAATGTGCTAAATAAATCTAAATGCAGCTTAACAACAGCCWACTAGTTATTGCCATCTTGGTTTTATACCAGTTTAACAAATGTAATTACTAACAAGCATCTTACTTTCACTGGCAAAGATATTTAAAATATATCAATAAATATTTTTGATTCATTTGACTTTCAAACTGGCTTTTAATTCCTTCCTCAACTTCCCCCCGGTTTAAGATATCAAAATTGTTTCAGTTCTCTTCAGGAATACAATCACTAACAAAAGAATCAGAGTGGCATTTTACCTTTAAACATTTTTTTAAAGAGAAAATCGTATTTAATTACAGTGAAAAAATTACAGCTGAATTCTTCAGTTGCTGTTTTAAGACACATTGGCCACTTTTGTAAAGTATTAATCTTTCTCACGTCCAATAAAGTCACTATAGATTCCTAAATACTGAAGTGATTTTGATCCAATTCATGGATACCTTGAACATAAAAGGAGCTATCAAGTTTTAGCCACAATCCACGAGCAGAAATGGCTCACACATGCTCCATGCAAGACACTTTAGCACAGAAAGACAGAAACAATTGCACACACAAATYCTGTGAGAGAGGAGGAAGATGAGCTGCCAGGCAGATGTACCCTCTCACCACCATCCCTCTGCTGAGCACACAAGGCAGCAGCCAGGAGCAGCTCTGCAGAAGGAACCAGACCATGGCTGTGCTCAGCATCCCCAGCACTCTGAGMCACAAACCCCTCTCTGGGCACACTTACTTTGTACGACTCCATTCGGTGCTGGGTTATCACCGTCACTTTTTCTATCACTGTTCTTAATCTGTTCTGTGTTGCGTGGGAAATAAAAGTAACGACCTCAGCTGGCACATCAGTAATTCCTAGTTTTTTAGCTAAAGCAAAAAAACAAAACAAAACAGAATTAGTTTACCCCCCACAGAAAAAAAGCTCCACATAATCCAAAATCATAAAGGACTTCATGTCACAACACCATTTTCCTGAATAGAAAAATCCATGGCAATGTACTTAAGTGGCTTTGATAACACATTCATGACCCCTTGAAAAGGGAGTGACTATACAAGATTGAAAGACAAGTCAGAGAATWTTTTTAAACCTGAAAGCATTTAAGAACTTTGCTGAAGTTTAGTCTAGCATTTTAAGGCATATCAGAGTGTGAGACAATCTGAGTTCTCAGTTGCTCTACACAAGAAGAAATAATTCATTTATTCTCAGAAGCCTTAGTGCAGATGAATTTCAGTGTCGAGCAGGTGAGGCTGCAGCCCTCATTCTGTTCTATCCTTTAGCCTACACCACTGGCATAATACTGATAACAGAAATTCTTTAGAAAGAAAAAAARAACTATTAGTTGAAGGCAAAGAAATAAAGTAATATTAAAAAGAGTTGGTTAGAAACACCAGTTGTCCCCCAACACATATTCATCTTATTTGGATATTTGATACTTCATGTTGGGTTTATAAGAAAAGCAAACAGTCTACAGTCRAATGTATTTATATATTTCAAAACCACCCAAACTACAGAAAAAAAAGAATATGGGTAACACTTAGGGACTCCTAAATTCATCCAAATAATTAATAACTATTAGATATATATTTGTAGGTATATGAATATATGTACTAATTTAAACCACAGTCGTACAAAGGCATATGTAGTCCTGGCAGGACAGTTTTCTGGAGAGAAAACTCCTTGTGTGCACAGACAGGGATGTACATTTTATACAGGAAAAAACTTGGCATTTTGCACGGACCACTGGAGCTGACCACCACAGAAGGACAAATACGCTCAGTCAGTTTTCCACGAATGGGCCAAGACTTTTAAAAGTGATTTGGTGGGGCCACATGAACAGGTATGCAAAACAGTACAGGAAACTGGTGACTATTTTGGAAAGCATTTCCTGCAGAGCCAATTGCAAGAGGAATCCCCATTTGGGGAAGGGTCCCCGACAAACGCAGACCTCGGATGCACGAGACCGCGTGTTTGCTTTTCGAGGCGTTCCTAATCTTGCCCTGGCTAAATCCAAGAGCCAGAAACCAGCCCACGTCTAAAAAGATGAAGTGGGAGAAGCGAGCGGCGGGGCCGCGTCCCGGGGCTGCCGGCAGCGGAGCGGGACGGGGCGGGCAGCGCTCGGCGGCACCGGGAGCGGCACGGCCAGGGAGAGCTGGCACCCATCGCGTCCAGCGGGGATCTGCCCCTTTCCTCCTTCCCCTCCCTCGGCTCCTTTTCCCCCGGGATGTGCCCCTTCCCTTCCCTCGGCTCCTTTTCCCCCGGGATGTGCCCCTTCCCTTCCCTCGGCTCCTCTTCCCCCGGGATGTGCCCCTTCCCCTCCCTCGGGTCCTTTTCTCTCGGGATGTGCCCTTTCCCTCCCCTGGCTCCTCTTCCCCCAGGATGTGCCCCTTTCCCTCCCCTGGCTCTTCTTCCCCCGGGATGTGCCCTTTCCCTCCCCTGGCTCCTCTTTCCCCGGGATGTGCCCCTTTCCCTCCCCTGGCTCCTCTTCCCCCAGGATGTGCCCCTTTCCCTCCCCTGGCTCCTCTTCCCCCAGGATGTGCCCCTTTCCCTCCCCTGGCTCCTCTTTCCCCGGGATGTGCCCATCCCCGGGACTGCAGCACCACAGCCCCACTGCGCTCCCCAGCCGCACCTCCATAGCACAGCCCTCCACTCCAGCTATGGCTGCAGTTAATTTTAAGGACCCTTTGAAGTCGWTACCTCTTAAACCAACTTGATCACTGAGTCCCTATCTTACACATTACCTTAAGGATTTCAGCAAGATGTATATATGCTTTTTAACTAATTTTTGCTTTATCGTGAGGAAAAAAATGAATTAAACCTTTCTTGGTGCCCAATTTGTGCTGTGTAATAGAGCTGGAGCTGCACTCARGTTGCTGAAAGCTGAACGTGTAATGAGAAGCAGCCACACGCATGAAATCCCAATGCTGCWACTGCCACCCTGGCAAATGAAGTCCTTGAAGTGAGGAGGATTATTCCTATGGGCAGCAGCGATTCCTCTAAGTCAGACTGGCAATATCAAGGCCTATTTGAGCATGCACCATTATATTATGCAAACATATGTAAGCAAATCCTTCAATCAAAATATTCTAGTCTGAAAGATTAAATGCAAGAAAGAACATTTAATTAACTAGTATCCAGAAAAAATGTTTGAGTTGGTAATTTCTGCCATATTCTAGGTAAGGGTGTGAATGTGTATTTGTTATAATTTTTTGAATTTCAGTGTAACTACAACCACCCAACTTCCCTGAAAACACACATCCCTTTTATAATAAGAACTATTGGGTTTTTTCCCAATAGTTCTTGGGTTTTTTCACAATAAAGGTCTAATTTTAAATAATTTTATTCTATGTAAATTCAAACATTATAGGACATTTCTTGTCCCTTTAACTCTTCAGAAATTCCTCCATAATCAAAGAATCATTCTCTGAGATACCCCATTCCTTAAGATTCTTTTCCTTCATCAGACCCTGCAATATCCCAGTAATTTTCTTCTCCAAAAATCCCCCAACACAATATTCCCAAGTCCAGAAAAACACCTGGAGGCCAAGGAATCCCTCAAGAATCTGTCCTGGTGACTCAGGGACCTCAGGGGTGCAACTCAAAGCCACCTCACCAAGTTTGCAGGTGGCACCACCCTGAGCAGTGCAGAGGGAAAGCACTGGTGAGCAGAACAAGAGGAACTTCATGGAACTCTGGAAGGACAASTGCAAAGCACATTCCAGTGCCGGGGAGGGACTCACTGCAATGCCACAGG